CAAGTGCAATGAAACGAGGTAGCTTGAGGACAAGCCCAGCTGAGAAGAATTATTATTCAACCTCCCTAATGGGGGGCACGCAGCAGCACCTGAACATCTCACTCATCTTTGTTTTTTGGAAAAGATTCTAGAAAAAGAGCTTACAAGCAAGCAGTGCACAAACATAAAGGAGCCCGAAATCACTGAAGTAAATTAACCAGCAAAACTTAAGTGCTGACAATGACCTCTACAACAGGGAAGAAAGTTACGTTTTCAAGTCCTTAAATTAATAGTTACCTCGTAACTATAAGTCCCACTTTCGTTTGCTGCCTCAAGCCGGGTTTAAATATTACTGAGATTTTTGGACATGTGGACGTCTTCGCTAATTAAGCGACCACTAGGCTGCCCCCCACCCACCCCCGTTCCCGGCCCGGGGGATACGATACAGAGGAGCGAGCCCTCGAGGAACTTAGTGATTTTTGCCTCTTCTGTCTCCAGAGACTGTTTTGAGGTGCAAATAACTGGAAAAAGCTCTAAAGACACCTGTTGACTTGCTAGGCGATGGGCCCAGAGAGCCGTGGTCCGGCGACCCGCACAGCCTGCGGGTCCCCTCCTCACCGGCAGGGGGACCAGGCAGCCGGAAAGGCAGGACCGGGAGGGGAGCGAGGAAGTTGCCCAGAGAAAACATGGCGGCGGCAGCGTCGCGTCACCTGAGCTCAAGCCGGCGGCCGCTACGGTAGCCCCTGGGAGTCAATACGCTTCTAGGACGGCGATTCGCATCCAGCGCCAGCTGGAGCCAAAGGGGCATCAACCCCGAGACTGGGGCAACCCTGAGTGGGCGGGGAGGTGGAGCGCAAAGGAGCGCGGGAAGAGGGCGCCCCGCGCTGGCCAGAGTCGGAGGAGGAGACCGAAGAGCAATAGCTATTCATGCAATTCATTCCATGTGTGCATGCATTCATCGGCACCTACAAACTTCAGTTTGTTCTTGGAAGTGACCCTGTCAACGACGCTGTAGGGCAAGTTCTGCTTCCAGAGGGAGGTTGGACTAAAGGAGACTAAAAGATAGTTATCAATCGCTTGCTGAGGGCGAGGCTCTGTGCTAAATGCCCTGAAAGGATGCCAGGAACGCATTTTACCTACAATCCAGTGGGGACATGTAAGGGCCTGGGGGACCCAGTGAGCACAGGCAAGTACATGCGGGATGTGGGCAGATAAGGAGAGAATCCCACTGGGAAAGAGGCGGTGCAACCCCACCACTTTTTATTTATTACGGAAGGAGCGGGGGAGGGTAAAGGCTGAGGGTGGTGAGTAGAGAGGATGGTCTGCAGGAGCTGTGTTCCCTAAAGATTCCTGCCTATTAGTTTCAGGGCAGGTCAAAGACATCGCAGTTATTTTATGTAAATGAAATACCTGGAGACTTCTTTGAAGCCAATAAACATACTAAAAAATAATATGCATCCCACTATGAGGGAGATTGCACCTTGCATTGGCTACTGGTTTAAGGCATAGATGGCACTCATTGAATGTCATAACTAAAAATAATAGCAGCTGTTCTCTATTAAGCCAACTGCTTCTGGGTAATGGGGCATGCATCAGTCTATTGTTGCAACAATAAAGCTGTGTAACAAAATGCTGCAAAACTCAGAGGCAGCACAGCAATCATTTTTTCTCACATCTAGGGGTCAGTTGATCTGGCCTGAGTTCAGTTGGGCTTGCCTCCAAGCTGCAGATTCTCACCTTCCTTGGACCAGTGGGTCGATTGGGGTATGTTCTCATGATGATGGCAGAAGCAGGAAAATAAGCTCAACTGTACAAGCACAGTTGAAAGCTTTCATTGCATCACATATCCTACGGTCAAAGAAAACCCACATGGCCAGACACTACATAAATGAAGCAGGGAAGTATATTTCTCCCATGTTAGAAAGGGGAGCATGTGTGAACATTTAAAACAATAACCTAATTTAACACAAGGCCCATGATTAGACCATTGAACCATCGTCACACTTCCCTCCCTGAAATGTGTTCCCTGGCTAGAGAAAGTAGTATGTACATGGAGATGGACTCAGCATTCTGTAAGTCCACAGGTGCTGGTGCTGCAGGCAGGGAGGGCACACCTCTACGTGGACTATGACTATACTCAAGAGGCATATTGTTGCCTCCTCCTCTAGGGGTCTAATGTAAAAAATCCACCCCCACCAGGTGGCCACCTGGTTCCCCCAAAGATTGGTGTCCTATCAGGTCCTCAAAGTTGGCTTCTGCTGTTGGCCAGTTGGGTGCTCTGCAGTGGCAGCAGCCAGACAGATCAGCCTGATGAAGGGCAGTCCATGAGGTCAGAGCCATGCATAACCTCCATCCTGTTACTATAGCCACTTTGCACGTGGTTTCTTTGAGCAAACACTGGGGTGTTTGGGGACAGAGACCAATGTCCACAGATTACAGAGACCTGCTCCATGTTGAATGCCTTCTAATGGACATTTACCTGGGACGATACATCCAATTTTATGGATCAGGTAAAACTAAATTCATGAAGGGCCGTTCAAATGCCAGTCTTTTATTGCTACCTGACAGGAGCTGCAGCCAGCCTGCCAAGAGGGAGCTGGGGTAATGAGTACCGACTTCCCCACCTCCCTCTACTCTTCTACCAGTGCTCCCCATGGGTTGTATGGGACCAGACCCAGAGAGCCCACTGATGTGGTCCACAGAAGTCAGCCTCTAGAGGCACAGAACAGGATGAAGAGGAGAAATTCATCTGGATGGGCTGTGGTAGGCAGCCCCTAAGATGATTCCCACTGAGCTCCACCTCCTGGTATTCACCCCCTGTGTAGTCCTTGGTCATGTTGCACTAGGGTTGGTCTTTGTGGCGAGTAGACTATAGCAGAAATGATGAAATGCCACTTTACCTATTAGGTTGCTATAGCAGGCAGCTAAGGTGGCCTCCATGACCCCTGCCTCCTAATATGCATGCCCTGGTTTAAAACCCTTTCTTGGAGTGTTGGCTGGACCGAGTGACTCGATTCTAATGAAGAGGACATGGTAAAGTGATGGGATATCACTTCTAAGAGTTGGCTGCAAGAGACTCTTGAGGTCTTGCTTGCTCTGATGACACAAGCTGCCCTGTGGAGAAACCCACATAACAAGGGATGAAGGGAGACCTCTGGCTAACAGACCATTAGGAACTGATTCCTGTCAACACCCACTTGAGCGAGCATGGAAAAGGACCTACCCCAGGTGAGACTTAAGAATCTCAAATTTCCATGACTGCAACCCCTGCTGACACCTTGATCGCAATCTAGAGAGACCCTGTGCCAGAACCTCTAGCTAAGCCACTCCTGAATTCCTGACTCTCTGAAAGTATGTGAGGTCATAAATGTTTGTTGTTTTAAGGTCCTAAAGTTTGGGGTAATTGCTTTGTAGTTATAGATAACTAATATGTGAGCAAGCAAAAACAAAAAATTCAGGAAGGATGGAAGGGAAAATCTATGAAATCAAGTGAAATATTATTGAAGAAAAATATTTGGTTCATATTCTTGATAGACTCTGAACCTGTGTATAGAGTTATTTTTAGACTTTTTTAATGAGAAAAATATGTTTTCCTTTGACTCAAGGACAAACTCTGGTATTTCACTAAGTTGAGAATATTTAAAGGCAGAACAAGAATTCCAACCAGGTTTGAAGCCCTAGTTCTTTTCACAACATTATTATGCCTCCCTATAGTGATCCTTATAACTTTAAATAAAAATATACCACAGCCCTGGCCAGTGTGGCTCAGTTGGTTGGGTGTCATCCTGTGCCTTTTGGATTCCCTGTCAGGGCACATGCAGGCATGGGGGTGCAGGAGGCCACCGATCAATGTTCTGTTCTCACATCGACATTTCTCCCTCTCCCTCTCCCTTCCTCTCTCTCTAAAAATCAATTTAAAATTATAATTATATATACCATTGTCCACGTCATAAATAAGTTCATTAATTTAAGTTAGAAAGTAAAAGTGTCATATTTCAAAACAGGAAATGCATGTGAGCAAGGACTACTCTTATCTATGTTCCTCACGCCCACCCCCACCCCACCTTATTGCTGGTGCTCAATACATCTAATGAGGAAGAAACTGAGGGTCCCTGTGATTTTGATTAAATTCAGTTTTAAATCCTAACTCTAAAAATCCTCTCTCTCCCCCTCAGAGACCCAGAGTTTCCCCCAGATAATCAGCAATCCGGAGGCAGCAGAAGACAGTGGCTGGGACTTGAGCATTGGTCCCACAGTCCGGACCTCTGGCAGCCTGAAGATAACATCTCGCTTCAGGTCCGGAGCCCTAAGGCGGAACAACCCCTGGCTCCTTTCCCATGAGACCAGACAGAGGGACCCTGGAAAGGACCTCAGGGATGTCCTCAAGACCCGGAGAAATGACTCATCACCCTTCCTTCACCTCCCACCCATCAGCTCCTAACATGACCCAAAGCCCTGACTCACGGTGTCTTGTGATTTCGCCCTACATAATCTGTACCTACAGCCAGCGAGTGTGGTTTGGAGCATTAGCTTCCCGCCTCCGTACGGGTCAATTCAATATTAAACTATATTTTCCTTCTATACTGCAAACTCCTGCTCGTGCATTTCCTTGGGCCAGTGCGTGCAGGCAGGCAGGCTCGAGGAAAAACCACTGGAGTTCTGGTCACAAAGACACTAATTCCACAAGCAGGCCCACATCTGGGGATATGGACCGGAATCCTGTTTCCCAGAGGGCCCTGGAGCCCACCGCTGGGGGCAGAATTGTAAAATTCGCCAGAGAAAGCAGAAAGTAGGGAGGAGGAGACGGAAGGGAGCAACTAGCTGCCCCGGGCGAGTCCGATGGTTCAGGAGTCCCGCCCCGGATGTCGGAGTACGCGGGGCGGGGCGAGTCAGGGGGCGGGGCGCCGGCCGGGCCGGAAGTTGTCTCTGCCCGGCCCAAAGATGGCGGCCGCAGCCACACTTGCCCTTGTCGCCTAAGCTCCTGTAACCAATGGCGCCGCGATGCTCGGGTGACTCATTGAGGCGACCTAGGCTCGACGTTATATGATGCAACGTTGGAGTCGAGGAAGCCGCCGGTGCACGTTGCGGTGACAAGGCGGCGGCGTGTTGGGAGGTGATGTCCTTGGAGGTGACCCGGGCGACCGCAGGGATGGTACTAGGTGAGTGCGGCTCGGGGACCCCCGGGTGTGTAGGGGCGCGTTGCCTCTGCCCGGGGCGGGAACCTCGCTCAGGCCGATGACCAGCACTTACAGACGGCCTGGCGCAGAGTGGGCGTGCCCCCACCCTTCAGACAGAGACGATCGCAGGAGGGTGTGCAGGGCCTGGGCCCGCCGGGCCGGGCTGCTGGGCTCGCCCCGGCCTCCCTCCAGCCCTCGGGGCCCCGGGCCGGGTGTGGCGGCCGCTCCCGCCCTGCCCCCCGAACATCCCGTGATGCGGCTGAGGGAGGCACTGGCGAACCTCACAGGGGACCCCCTCATCGACATCACTCTTCCAAATGATCGCCAGGAAGGCCTTTAGAATTCGAACCGTCTTTCCCAGCCCCCGTTTGTGCTGAGGTTTCCCGGCCCTCCATCTGGAGCGGCAGCAAAGGGAAAAGCCGACGTGCTTCCCCGTCAGACTTCCTGGCCGCGAGGCCTTCTGCACCGTGTTTCACCCCAGAGCTTCGGGTTCCCTGAGAGACCAGAAGGGACTGGTACCTGTTTGACATCTGGGCGCCGACGCTGGGGGACCGGACTTGTCTGTGTGCCTTGATTTCGTCCTCAGTGCAGCCGTCAAGGCGGGCGTTGTTTCCTCCCCTATTTTACCGTCAAGGGAATGGGCTTGGGAAGTGAAGGTGCAACATCCCAGGACCCCAGGCTGGTCTGGCCCGCTTCACAGCCCGTCCTCACGACTGGGAACCCGGGGAGATGGAAGCAGGCTCACGGGTCACTCACGGGATCAAAGTTCATTTTGAAAAGCTACATGTGCAACCCGTATGTTTTTATGAGATGGATTTCATGGGAACGGGCCTGGGAAAGTAATTGTGATCCATCTTCTTTTGGGCTGTGGCAGTTTTTCACTATAGTAACTCAGCTGCCTGTTCTGTTCACAGAAATAAAGAATGGATGAAGTAGTTGCAGTATGAGATGACTGATAATTATTGTCCAGATGTGTAACTCATTCTCACTTTGTAAAACAGCAGAGCTCTACGTCTCGGATCGAGAGGGAAATGATGCGACAGGTGACGGAACCAAGGAGAAGCCTTTTAAAACCGGTCTGAAGGTAGTGTCCCCTCTCCTAGCAGAGCAGCTTTGCGTGTATGAGTGACTTATGTCAATTATTACGTGATTTGTCAATAATTCATTTCAAGCACTGGGTTTTGAAGAGAGTGTTCAGAAAAAGGAAAGTAAAGATTGTGTATAGAAATGTAGCTTTAACAGATCTAAGTCTAAGCTTATTTGAACATTTTAAAAATGTCGTCTTTTTTCCTTATGTGGCATTGCATCTTGGAATGTGTCTCTCCAATGAGTCAGATGGCCAGTTTTTTCAGTTCTTGTTGAAATAATATTCAGCTTCAGGTTAAGGTGTGGGTCGAGAGATCCCTCCGTAGGTAGCCATGGGTTTGCCTGTTGAACTGCAATGTCTGCACCTGCCAGGTAACGAAATGTTAAAGCTCCCTCCTTGGGCAGCCCTAGGAAAAACTGCCCTGACACTTTGTTCTGTGTCCATACCTGGCCAATCCCCCTTTGTGTTAGCTATGTTGCAACACCTATTTAGGTTATGATCAAGTGTTCCTCTCCCGGGAGCATTCTCTCTAGTTATGCTTTGGTGTGTCGTACATAGTTCTTACTTTTTAACTCTTAGGGGGAAATATTTCTCTCATTTCTGGGCTGTTGGGGTGACTTGAGCTCCCCAAACTGACAACACTGTTTAGGTGAATGTTTGCAGAATGTCCCTGTTAGCAAAAGCATGCCATTCTGATTTGGGGAATTACAGTTTGGCTCCTTCAATTTCAGTGATAAAAAAGGAGTGATCAGTAGAGAGTGTCAGGTATTAAGTGAATTCCTAATGATTTGCAAACATCCCTACAAAGTCTGATGGTTAAAAACATGAGTTCTTGGGTGTTTTTTAAAAGGTCCAGGTTTCCCCCTCCTCTGTACCAATCATTGAGTTGGAACTGCTGTTAAAACAGGAGGAAAGGTGTTTTTTAGGTTTGGAAACTATACTTTTAGAAAGCTTTTTGTAAGCTTTAGATCTTATTCCTTACAATTATTTCTTGGTTGACTTAACAACTTGGAAGAAATTTGAAGTAGTTAATAAAACATTTATCTTTTACATACTTTCAACTATTTTTTTAAAAAAAGAATATGAATTATAAAATCCTGTATAATAAAAGGCTAATATGCAAATTGTCCCCTCTACTGGGAGTTCAACCGGAGTTCAACTAGGGGGCTGAACTGTCGCCAACGGCCAGCAGCCCCTTCCCCCGGCCGGCCCCTACCTGTGCATGAATTCGTGCACCAGGCCTCTAGTATTCAATAACCTCAAAGCTGATGTGTTCCAGTATTAATGAAAGAGGTATTCTACATAAGAGTAATTTTTAAAATTAAATGAAACTTAGCCCTTTGTGTTCTTAGCCATTATTTTGTTGCTAGAGTTTCAGAATTGGCTTATCTGTTCCTTAGCCAGGATTAATCATTTAGATGTGATCTGTAACTGGCTTTTGCTATCATCTGTCTCCTCTATTGTCAGCATAACTCCCTCTGGCCCCTGCGCCACTTAAAATCTGTTGCTTCTAGTCTACTTGTGGCTGGGAAACTCTATACCATGTCACTGAACTTGTTAGAATTGTTGCAAAAGGACCCGAGAGCTAAAAAAAAAATGTTCTTAGTACTTCAACCAGTCGATCTATCAATATTGACTTTCAACTCTTGGGGTCTCTTCTTGGCTCTTGATTATGTTCTAGACCAGTGATGGCGAACCTATGACACGCGTGTCAGAGGTGACACGCAAACTCATTTTTTTGGTTGATTTTTCTTTGTTAAATGGCATTTAAATATATAAAATAAATATCAAAAATATAAGTTTTTGTTTTACTATGGTTGCAAATATCAAAAAATTTCTATATGTGACACGGCACCAGAGTTAAGTTAGGGTTTTTCAAAATGCTGACACACCGAGCTCAAAAGGTTCGCCATCACTGTTCTAGACAGTTGAAGTTGCCTCATAATTACCGTGTTATTTTGATCTCAAATATTGTACAATGTTAAGGATATTTTCTTTTTCTCTCTCCCCATCCAAGGCTTTGATGACAGTGGGAAAAGAACCATTTCCTACCATTTACGTAGATTCACAAAAAGAAAATGAGGTAGGGTGAACGAAAACCTTTGCAGAATTTTATTTTCTGAGTATTCATCAGAATTAGAGGTCTTGAAAAACTAAATATCTATTCTTCTCTCTAGCGGTGGGATGTTATTTCTAAATCACAGATGAAGAACATTAGGAAAATGTGGCATAGGGAACAAATGAAGAGTGAATCCCGGGAAAAGAAAGAGGTGAGCAATGAACTCACAACTGAGAACATTTGAAAAGTTAGAACACTAGGAACCGTGTTAACAAATTGCTTTATCATTAAAATTAGGCAGAAGACAATTTGAGAAGAGAAAAGAACCTGGAAGAAGCAAAGAAGATTACCATTGAAAACGATCCAAGTCTTCCAGAGCCAAAATGTGTAAGTGTGATGTGTGTTGTCACAAACACGGCAAACTGTTATTTGTGTCTGAGGGCCCTGCCGCGAGGTTTGTTCCTTTGCATTGTCCGTCTTTCCTTGTACAAGAAGGGATGGAGAGAAGTAATGTTTTATAGTTTTGCGGCTGGTGGTTCTTTTGAGGTTCATTTTCTCTTTTTTTAAATATTTTTATTGATTTCAGAGAGGAAGGGAGAGGGAGAGAGAAACATCAATGATGAGAGAGAATTATTGATCGGCTGACTCCTGCAAGTCCTATGCTGGGAATCGAGCCCACAACCTGGGCATGTGCCCTGACCAGGAATTGAACTGTGACCTCCTGGTTCATAGGTTGATGTTCAACCACTGATCCATGCCAGTCAGACAGGATTTTTTAAATACAAAGTTTTGTGATTTTATGAAATTGGATTCTTTCTCTATTCTTTCTAGAACAGGATGCTGGCCTCTGGGCATGCTTAGATTTCAGACAGTTCTGATTGCTGATGAACTGCCATATTTTCCCTGTTTTCTTAGTGAGGAAGCTGTTTTCTTGGCTGTATTCACCATCCCCTTTACTCATCTCTCTATTCTCCTTCATCCCCCAAACAGAAAGCTAGCTAGCCTTTGTTAACTTCTACCTCCCAGAATGTCTGGAGGGACTGTGAGGTCAGGGAAAGGGCTCTGTGTGGATTTGGGTTATTGCTATTGTGAATTCATGTACTCACTGATTTTCTGTAGCCATAGCTGAAATTCTGGGTGTTTCTCACAGTTGGTTTTGCACTAAGAGAAAGAGGTTTTTTTTAACCACGCAGTATGGTGAAGTTTTCTGGTTCTAACCTGCAGTAAAGTTACTAATCTGTAGTTTTGCACCATTTTTGAAATTTTAACGCTTTACTGTCATCCATCTAATATTAGTGAAAAATTGATATGTGATAAATGACACAGTTAGTGAAATGTTATTTATTTTAATTTGACAGGTGAAGATTCATGCATTAGAAGGATATAGAGGCCAAAGAGTTAAAGTGTTTGGCTGGGTCCATAGGCTGCGAAGGCAAGGTAAATGGCATAGCTTTCCTTTTCTCTCTTTTATTTTTAAATATCCCTGGTCTTAGATGAAGAGTAATGTAAAAACATTTACTTGGAAATATTTCGATTTTTGGATGCTAGTTTTTTAGAGGAGATAGTGACTTATATCCTAAATTTGTTCTTATTCAATATGACTATTAAAAGTTTTTAAAAAATTTAAATGCTCTTTACCTGTAAGCAATCACAGTGATCAGAAGGTGTCCAATAAATATTTGTGTAGTTGAACTTAGTTTTTTAATGAAAAGCAGGAAGTGGAGAGCCAAATCTGAAACTTACTGATGGTAGAACTCGTGACACTTATGATTAGTATATTTGCATTCTGCTTCTGCTGATATTTTGTTTTCTCTTTCTATTTTTATAACTTTATAACACGTGTTTTATTGTAAGTGGTTATCAAATCCAAATCCTTCGTAAAAAGAAATGGGACATTCGCCCTGGCTGGGTGGCTCAATTGGTTGACCGTCGTCCTGAAAACCAAAAGGTTGCGCCTGGGTTGCAAGTTCGATCCCTAGTCTGAGCGTGCAGGGGAGGCAACAAATCAATGTTCAATGTTCTCACATCGATGTTTTTCTCTCTTTTTCTCTAAAGACATATCCTCCGGTGAAGGTTCATTTAAAAAGGGCGAGATGTAAATAAGAAAAAATGATTCTTTACCACGGTGTTTCTGCACCTCGCGCCTAGTGCACAGTCCATTAGGCATTGCTGGGGCTTCAGCGGCTAATAGGACTAATCCCTCATCTCATGTTGCTTACTGTCTGCTTTCCCTTGGTTGCGTGGGTCATGAGGATCACATGGGATTTGAAAGTACAATTAAGAAGATAATGTGCTTTACAAATACTGAGCAGTGATATAACCAGGGACACTTCAGAGGAAGGGCAGCCCCTGGGAGGTCTGAACTTTCAATACATTTCTCTTTCTCCTTTCAGGAAAGAACTTAATGTTTCTGGTGTTGCGGGATGGTACAGGGTATCTTCAGTGTGTCTTGTCAGATGATTTGGTAAATATTTTCTCTTACTTGTGGTTAAAATTTCGATTTTTTTCAGTAGCTTCCTTTATTGTTAGTTTTTAAAATTTTAACTGTTATTATGGAAAACATTTATTTGTTGGGGAAAAACTGGTTGTTTGTCCTGTGGAATTTCTCTGGATTTGGTCAATTGCATACGCTGGATGTTAAGTCTAATCATATGTATCTATCTATATAATTTATATATATATATATATATGTGTTATTTATATAGATATATAGATATTTGGCACCACTATTTCATGGGCAAAGCTCTTCCAATTGCATATTGTGAAACACATAATGTCTGGTTGGTTTTTTGTTTTTATGTTTTTGTGTGTGTTTTTTTTTATGAATTGTGGGCTCAGGTGTTGGTAGCCTGGTCCCTCCCTCCATTACGAAGTTTCCCATCACTTTCTTCTAATGATTTTAACAAGTATTGGTGATCATAGCTCATATTGACTGTATTATTTTAACAGTCTGAATTTCAAATAAAAATGAATTTTTCAAATATTTTTAAGAGATGTGGGCTAATGTCATTTATGCCTATGTATGTATGTAAAGTATCTATTTACATAAATGTGTATATTTATATAGAGATAAATCTTTTATAAAAATAGCTATTCTGTATTAATATTAAAAATTGATGGCCATCTTATTTTACTAGTTTTGGACCAGATAATTTGTAAATAATCCCCTTTGTTTTCTATACGTTAGAATATTTTAATGTAAATGTGAATAACTAAGTTTGAACTTGATCTTTTTATAGTGTCAGTGTTACAATGGAGTAGTCTTGTCCACTGAGAGTAGTGTTGCAGTGTACGGAATGCTAAATCTTACCCCAAAGGGCAAACAGGTGAGTGGATTGACTTTCTCACTGGGTGAATAGCTGTTTGCTTGTATTCCAATTCGTACTTTTGGTATTTGGCATATAAACACACAAATATGATGCAGTTGCTAAATTTAGTATGCCTTTTCCTTTTCCTGTGAAATCCCACTGTACAGCTCAGAAGATGTAACAAACTCAGAGATATCCAACCTTGTAGAATTCCTGAATAATCCTCATGGACCATAATATAGCCACTTTGCTGTGGGTGTGTGAATAACTTTTCAGCTAGGTGGAAATAAAAACTTAATCCAAGAAATTTCAGGAAAGAGCAGTAATCTAAATCGAAAATTTTTGGATAGAATTTGAGAACCTCTTAGAAAAGTTAAATATAACTGATATGCAGAAAGATGTTTGTTCCCTAGCCAACAGGCACATAACCTGTACCAGTTACAGTTACTTGTTAGTAATTATTGCTCAAGTAACTATTACTGCGGTTATTTTCCTTGGCTGGGAAAGAAAACCAAGGTGACATACTAACCACCAGAGGGAGCCCCTAGATTCTACCTACTAGACTAGAAATACTGATTAAAGAGAGTCAGAGCTCATGTAAAAGAAGAACCTGTATTTAGAGTGAATATCTGATCCAAGTTCCCTGGATTTTCCTTGGAATTAATGTGATTGGGAAATGGAGTGATTGTTGTGATGCTACTTGCTGTCCAATGTTTGGCACGAAGAAAATTATGTATTCCTTAATCTGTGGCTTCTAAAATGAATTGTTTTTAATGGAATTATCAGGGAGAATTTGAACTTTTACAATATATATGTTCCAAGGAGAAACAGCTTGTAGTAAAATCTTTGCATTTAAAGAGCTTTTCAATGTGAGTATTGTGTTACTTTCAATTATTGGTAAAGGCTAGAAAGATATACCAAAATGTTAGTAGTAGTTAGTAGTTACTCCAAGTTGTGGGATTATAGTTTTATTTTTTACTTTGTGCTTTCTAATTTTTCAAAAACTTGTATGTGAATTAACTCCGAAAGGAATATTAAATATATCAATATAAAATTGAATTATTGGGTCTGTTAGAAGGGTAGGCTAATAATGATGAGATTTTTAGAAATAGCTTACCAAAAATTTTGTAATCAAGTAAAAACTCAAAGTGCTCGCTGCAGGACAACCAAGTAAGTCGAGTGACAAGGAATTGGGGTAAGGAAAGCAACTTTATTCGGAAGCCAGTAAGCAGAGGAGAAGGCAGACTAGCGTCCTCAAGAACCATCTTGAGAAAGTACAGAATTCAGTCATCTTATGTCAGGGGACAGGGGAAAACAGGAGGGGTTTAAAGTCAAGAGGTGGTTGATGACTGCAGACGCCTGGATGCCAAGAAGGGCCCAAGGGGGTGGTGAAAATTCTTTGCTTTTGTTCGGCAAACTTCAGTTATCTTGGTCCCACTCACAAGATTCCTGTCAATTTTTTTATAAACTTTTTTTTTTTTTTTTACATACCTTCCTTATCTCTTTGGGGAAGTTGTGGCAAGCAGGGAGGTTGTTTGAGTAATTTCTAGGCTACAGGTTAGATCCTTGAATGATTAGCATACCTGTGTGCAGGACTAAGCAGAAGATTCTAACCCACATGTCATGGGACCTGGCAGGTTCGAGCAATGTGGTGTCAGAAAGATCATTAGAATCTATTACATTTTGACATAAATTAAAATCTTTACTACTACTGTAAATTTTTTGTTTCATTCTCCTTTCCTTTCATTCCTCCCCTTCTTTTTTAAAAAAATGTAGGCTCCTGGGGGCCATGAGCTGAGTTGCGACTTCTGGGAACTGGTTGGCTTGGCCCCTGCTGGAGGAGCTGATAACTTGATCAACGAAGAGTCTGACGTTGACGTCCAGCTCAACAACAGACACATGATGATCCGAGGAGAAAACATGTCCAAAATCCTGAAAGCTCGCTCCATGGTCACCAGGTGCTTTAGAGATCACTTCTTTGATAGGGGGTACTGTGAAGTAAGTGTGCACTCATCTCTTGCAAATGATACCTTTGGCCATTCTTCAACTTGAATAGAGGTGCTCACAGTGGGCTTTCTTTACTCCTTTCCGTTTGAACAGGTTACTCCTCCAACCTTAGTGCAAACTCAAGTGGAAGGTGGTGCTACACTCTTCAAGCTTGACTATTTTGGAGAAGAGGCATTTTTGACTCAGTCCTCTCAGTTGTACCTGGAGACCTGCATTCCAGCTCTGGGGGATGTTTTTTGTATTGCACAGTCATACAGGGCAGAACAATCCAGAACAAGAAGGCACCTGGCTGAGTATGAATTGTCTTTTTATTTTAAAAATTTTAAAAATAATTGTTTAGGAAAGCAATTTTTATGTAGTCAAAGGATGCCTATGTAAATGTGTTGGTATGTTAAGAGGATATATGAAGAGCAGTTGAATAAATTAATTGAAACCATGTAAAAAGTTTTGCCTCTTAGGCCATAGCTAGCTAAGGCCTTCCTTTTACTTGGCCCTGATCCTTTATGTGTTAAGGAATAAACAAACATTAATTATTTAAAGGGGAAAGGTAGGTGTGTGCTAAAACTAATTTGCAGATTTAGCAAGGATGGAATTTTACTTTTCTGGACAGTTTCCCAATGTTAAAATCCTTGTATGAGAGAAACTTAGTAGAAACGAAGAACAGCTCTGAGCTAGTGTCTCGTTCTTCAGATACACTCACGTGGAGGCAGAGTGCCCTTTCCTGACCTTTGAGGAGCTCCTGAACCGGTTGGAGGACTTGGTTTGTGACGTGGTAGATAGAGTCTTGAAATCACCCGCAGCAAGCATAGTGTATGACCTCAATCCGGTAGGTCTAGAGTTTTATGGAAATACAAAATTATGATTTCTTTTCTGAAAGGCAATGTTGTTTTCACCCTCAGTATTTATAGGTTAAATGGGTTGGCGAGCTTTGAAGTAAATGGCTAATAGTTGCCATTTCTCCACACTACTTCAAAAGTAAGTAACCAAGAATGTGCAAACAGCTTCAAACATACAGGTACATACACAAAGAAGAGATAAGATCATCTGTGGCTTTTTTTTGTTAGGGACACATTAACTGGACTACGTAATAAGCAACATAGTTGGTGCTCAGTGACTGCTGCATTTCAATAAAAGTAGAATCACCTTTGGAAATAACAACAATATATAACTTCACACCAATGGTTTCAGGGAATAATGAGTTTGCTGGAGTTAGTTTATACTCTCATGTGTATTACCACAAAGATTCCAGTTATGTAATTACCAGTAGTCAGTTCCACTCATCTCCCCCTCAATCAGAGCCCTGCAGAACGTTTGAAACCTCTTTTATCTAATGCTTTTTTGACATCCCTTTCAGAGAGTACTTTAAAAGTGGAAGTATTTAAAATTAAAGTGTTTTTATATTCATGCATTAAAAAAATAATTGTCAATAATTTAATAACATTTTAACTTAGGAGGAAGTTCATATGTTTTTCTTTTTAGAAATGTCCACATTGATTTTTAGTCTGAAATAATATTTTACAATGATACTAAGTAGTTTTTCTTAAAATGGGAATTTTAGTGTTAATGGTTTCTTTCTATACACTGTATTTTTCCTTCTGTAGAACTTCAAGCCCCCCAAACGACCTTTCAAACGGATGAACTATTCAGATGCTATTGTGTGGCTCAAAGAACACAATATAAAGAAAGAAGATGGAACTTTCTATGAGTTTGGAGAGGTTTGTATTCCTTTCTAATCATTGTTTCAAAGGCGGCATTGTGCTTAAGTGGATTGCTACTTCTGCTTAATTAACCAGTGATGCCGGAGGCATCTGCTTGCCATCAAATCAATGGTAACTGAACCTTCTAGGATCGCTGATGATTCATTGACTTAATAGATGTAGAGTAAGCCTTAGAACAGTGCCTTTCTGTAGTGTTCAATAAATATTAGCAAGTTTTTAGCCTTCACACCTCATCCGTTGCCTCTCTTCTCTTCTTCCATGATCAGTCATGGGCTTGGTTGTAATTCTCTAGGTTGGCAGGATGCCTCAGAAAGTTGTAAACTGTAAATTTACTGCAAAATGTTAGCATCTATACTAATAATAGAGGAATATGCAAGTTGTCCAGGACGTCGTCACAGTAACGACTAAACAGCAGGCTGCATTGGGTGACCAGGCTAGCAGGAGGGTTAGTGAGGGATGACCAAATGACTGAACAGCAGGCTGTGTAGGGTGACCAGGCCTGCAGGGGGGTTAGTGAGGGACGACCAAACGACTGAACAGCAGGCTGCGTGGGGTGACCGGTACAGCAGCGGGGGCAGTTGGGGGCGACCAGGTCGGCAGGCGGGCAGTTGGGGGCAACCAGGCCGACGGGGGGGGGGGGGCAGTAAGGGGCTCACACGCCAGCAGGGGGAGGCAGTTGGGGGGCGACCAAGCCGGCGAGGGGGCAATTAGGGGCGATCAGGCAGGCAGAGGTGGTTAGGGGTGATCAGGCTTGCAGGGGGGGCAGTTAGAGGCGATCACGCCGGCAGGCAGGTAAGCAGTTAGGAGCCAGTGGTCCCCAGATTGTGAGAAGGATGTCCCTGGGATCGGGCCTAAACCGGCGGGGGGACACCCCTACCCCCCCTACCCCCTTGCATGAATTTTCGGGCACTGGGTCTCTAGTGTATATATATTTTGTTTTTGTCTGTCTGGAGAAAGTATTTGGCTTCGCAAAAAGGATCCCTTCCCCTCAAAACAGTAAATCAAACTCCTTCACGTAGAGGGGATTCAAAGAAGAAAATAGCCGCTGGTTAAATTGCAAAACCAAGAGAAGCCTTGATAAGGAAGTTGGCCTGAGGCCCAGGTAACTGACAGGTAAACTGAGTGGGTATCGGATATTTTGTTTGTTAAATTTTTTATTAAATTTTTTATTTATTGATTTGAGAGAGAGAGAGAGAGAGAGACATCAATTTGTTTTTCCACTTATTTATGAATTCATTGGTTGATTCTTGTATGTGCCCTGACTGGGGATTGAACCCACAACTTTGGCATATCAGGATAGTGCTCTAACCAACTGAGCTGCCAGGGTGAGGGTATAAATTGTTAACATGATTCTAAGTCCTCTTTCCTGTGCATTTAACCATTCCTTGCATAATATTTGCAAATCCAACTGTTCTACAGAGGAAATGTAACTACTGCTAGCTAGAGGTTTGTTTGTTTTTAGAAGGAATTTATAGAGAGGACAGACAGTAGACTTGACCTATGTAAATTACTCTTAATGTTTCATGAATTCAATTGATGGTGTATAATAGAATTTTGTACTGAAGACTTTAGAACTGTTAGCCAAGCGGTGTGACTGAGTGGAGAGAATACAAGTTTTGGAGTAAGAAGGCTTCCCAGGTGGGCTTAGCTCCCACCTATGTCCTCACTGCTGTATAACTGCAGGCCAGTGACCCTGCTCCCTGGCTCCTTACCTCTGATGTGGAGGTAACATCCACTTTGCAAAGTCGTGAAGATTTAGTGAGCAAAATGCCTAGAGCAGTGGTTCTCAACCTTCCTAATGCCTCGACCCTTTAATACAGTTACTCATGTTGTGGTGACCCCCGATTTCATTGTTACAAATTGAACATAATTAAAGCATAGTGATTAATCACAAAAACAACATGTAATTATATATGTGTTTTCCGATGGTCTTAGGCGACCCCTGTGAAAGGGTCATTTGACCCCCAAAGGGGTCGCGACCCACAGGTTGAGAACCGCTGGCCTAGAGGGTCCCTGGCACAGGAAGTGCTAAGGACATGCCAGTCCTTACTCTACACCCATACACATGAGGATGCTACAGTAGATAAACATTCTAAAGACTTTTGGAAAAGACTCCTCTTCCTTCAATTAAATCTTATGCAGAACTCTAGGGTGCAAAGTAGCTAAAAGCTGAGAAACCAGAGCTCTCCCACTCACCTCCCATCTCTCTGTACTTTAGAGGGCACAGGGCTCGAGGGACTAGAGCTTGGAAACAGGTGGGCCAGGTGATTGCTAAGCTCCACTTCAGTTCCTACACTAAACAAATCAGTGCATCTTGTCCAGTTCTTTCTTCAGTTTTTATTGGGACAGGAGTTTTCAGTGGTATTTATGTGTGGTTTACTGAAGGATGTTTGAGAGAGAAAGTGATTCATCATCATCTAACAAATCTTGCTAACTATTCCAGGTGTGGTTACACTTAAAATTTGACATTGGCTATTTGTCTTATGATGGTGTCTTACTATCATTGAAGGTACACAGATTTATTATTATAGGAAAGAAGTGCAGATACTAGGAGAGTTTAAAGATTATTATTGTTTTTGTTTGTTTGTTTTCATTGATTTCAGAGAGGAAGGGAGAGGGAGAGAGAGGATAAGAATATCAATGATGAGAGAGAATCATTGATTGGCTGCCTCCTGCACGCCCCACACTGGAGATCAAGCCCACAACCTGGGCAGGTGCCCTGACTGGGAATCGAATGTGACCTCCAGTTCATAGGTCAACGCTCAACCACTGAGCCTCTCCAGCCAGGCAAAAGATTGTTGTTATTAATAACATACACTGTGTGTATATCGGTGTATTCTGGAACATTCACTAATTATCATGTGTCTTATGGGATGAAATGGACCATGTCTGCTTCAGAGCTAGATAAAACTAGCCATTGACAAAATGAGCAATATCTAGTCACAGTGATAATGACTTGGGTGGGGGTTTTTGCTTGTTTTTGGGGGGGTTCATTCCTCAAGCAGCATGGCACATGAGCTGTGTTGTAGAAGGATGCAGATCATTTTATAGTTTATTTAATAACTGGGTTTTTAAAATATATTTATTTGTTTTTTAAAGAAATTGTCCCTTACCCTGTGTGTCTGGGTGATGGTGGGTATGTATTCTTCCTGTGTTGCATTAAGAAGAGGAAGGGTAGCTACTAGGTGAAAGAGCTGCTTCTGTCTTGTTGCATTTAGAGCTATAAATGTTAATAAAGTCTTGTTCAACCTCAGGATATCCCTGAAGCTCCTGAGAGACTGATGACGGACACCATTAATGAGCCCATCCTGCTGTGTCGATTTCCTGTGGAGATCAAGTCCTTCTATATGCAGCGCTGTCCTGAGGATTCCCGCCTCACTGAATCTGTCAGTTGTGATTCGAACAGTATTAATAATTTTGTTTTTTAAGGGGGTGGAGACTGTTATTGGGATAATATACAGCTCATGGCAAATACTTGATTATAAATCTAGAATGACATTTTTTTAAGAAGTTTTTTTTGTCCTCTAATAAATTTACTTTGTTAAATTACGGAATTTGAATATTTGCATTTTGCATGATCATAGTACTCCTTCAGCTATAGGACAGGGGTGGGCAACCCCTGGCACACGTGCCAAACATGGCACACCAGTAACTTTTGCTGCCACGCGAAACCCTCTCTTATAATCTTCCATTTATAATTTTTTTCTTAATATCGACTTTTTTATTTTTCAGATAAATTCAGTGTACGTGCATCTTAGATAAATAAATAATGTATACATGTTTACATAACATGTATACATTAAAAAATAAATGTATTTTTCATCATCACATACTGTGTTTTTGTCGCTCGAATGAATTTTATTATTTCTTCAAGGTTCTTCACATACATACACCTTAAGAGATATCAAGTAGGCGTAATATGTTCTCAAAAAATTAGGGTTGGCACGCAGAAGAATTTTGAGTCAGATTTTGCTGGTTTTGGCACGCACTCACAAAAAGGTTGCCCACCCCTGCTATAGGAGCTTAATTGTGATTTTCTTTTTCTTTTTTCTTAATATATTTTTATTGATAGAACATTGATAGAGAGAGATAGAAGATCAATGATGAGAGAGAATCATTGATCAGCTGTCTCCTGCACACCCTTTAATGGGGATCAAGCCCGCAACCGGGTATGTACCCTTGACCAGAATCGAACCTGGGACCCTTCAGTCCACAGGCCAACACTCCATTCACTGAGCCAAACCTGCTAGGGCTTAATTGTGATTTTCATTTAAACTGTAGAGCAGTGTCATGACTGATAGCCTGTCGTAACTGCATTTGATTTACTTGTTGTTAAAGGTCGACGTGTTGATGCCCAATGTTGGCGAGATTGTGGGAGGCTCCATGCGTATCTGGGATAGTGAAGAAATGCTGGCAGGTTATAAAAGGGAAGGAATTGACCCCACACCCTATTACTGGTACACAGATCAGGTAGAAACAATTTTCAAATACTCTTTACATTTTTTTATTGTAGTAGTTTTGTATAAATTGAAATTTAAAAGGTGATGATTCAGGATGGAACTTTAGGATTTAAAGAACTTTATTCAGTTTCATGATTATAACAATGTGTCATGTGAATATTGCTAGTTTTGGTTTTGGCTAATAATATGTTAACTTCATTTGAAACCCTATTTAACTGCTGGCCTTGCTCATCGCTACTGAGCTTTTAAACATTTGTCATTGGATCTGACCAATATCTAGTGCTATCTTTCATTTTCCTCTTATAACCAAAGACATTGACTTGGCTTTAAAGTTTGAAATCTCTTCTTTCCAAGGTAGCACTTAATCCCTGTTTTATTTTCCATACCAAATTATTTCTTCACATGTGTTCCATGAAGGTATTTAGATTAAGGGTTGAATTCTTAACCACAATAAGCTAACTCATTTCACAGTAGAAAATTTTAACTATTTTAGGAAAAACTGTAAATTAAGCATATTCCTCTCTCTTTTTTAAACAGAGAAAATATGGTACCTGCCCTCATGGAGGCTATGGCTTGGGCTTGGAACGATTCTTGACCTGGATTCTGAATAGGTATCACATCCGAGATGTATGCTTATACCCTCGCTTTGTCCAGCGCTGCAAGCCGTAACCGGTGCCTCCTGAAGCACGAAGGCCAGCACATGGTTCCTGAGAGCAACAGACTGCCTCGTCCAAAAGAACAAAAAGCCAAGATCTTCCCTTTTTTATTCTATGGGGATATGTCTGGTTCTGTTTTCCCCTTTTGTTATTTGTTTTCCTGCTACCACAGAAAGCAATCCAAAACACTGGAACATACAGTAAAGTGACATTGATGTTGCCATTTTAAGAAAAAATATCCATTACAAAATTGAGAAATACGTGGCATGTAAGTGCTATTATGAATATATTTCAGCATTTTATGTAATTATAGGTTATAATCTTTGCACCTATATACCATATATATAATTAAACAGTTTTTAATTATGGTCTAAGACATTCCAGTTACTTAAGATTTTTGTCCTTTTAATTATAACTGAAATTCTTTAATTTGTATCATTTTATTGTATCAATGGGTTAAACATCTTGGGAAGATTGACACTATGGTGTAAAAATTTGCTAGTATTAGAACAGAGTATAATTTAACAATAGATGCTGGAATCAAATGAATAGCCTCTTGCATCATTATTAATCTTTTCTAAATCCGTGTAGCTGCTTGTAATTCTGAGGCATACGGATTGATATGGAAGAACTTGTAAAAATGGAACTGTCTTAATTTGAAGAGCAAAATTTTTTTTCAATGCTTCAGTGAACAGCATCCTTTCTAGCATTAATTTAAATTAAGGGAGACTGGTCTTCCCTCTTTCCTGGTAGTTCCTAAATAACTAAGAATAAGTTCCCAAAGAATTTGCACATAGAATCTTACAACTGTTAAGTGACTGAGTCATCCCCATATCTCATCTGTACTCCCTTATTAACTCTCAGCAGGCTTTTTGAATGGCTTTGTTTCAGATTTGGTTAATTTCTCCCCCAAAATGCATGTCATGTATTCTCAGGTTGTATTCTCAGCAATCAATAAATGGATACACATAAAAACTCTTTGCTGGCTTAATTTTTTTAAAGCTGAACATTTCTGTCTCACATTAGTTCATGTGTTTGCATTTTTTTATCTTTTAGTAGAGGCCCAATGCATGAAAATTCGTGCACTCGAGGGGGTCCCTCAGCCCGGCCTGCACCCTCTCACAATCCAGGACCCCTCGGGTAGGGTCCCTAAGCCTGCTGAGATCAGGGCCTATTGGGGCTTTCCTTCCCCCGGCTGCAGGCAGCTGACCCCACCCCCACCACTGCCATTGCTTTCCTTCTGTGCAGCGCTGCTCCCCCCACTCCCCTGCCACTGGTGGCCTCCCTCTAGGCGACAGGCGTGGGGTGCAATGGCTTGGCAGGCCTGGACCTCCCTCTGTTGGGCGATCGCTGGCCAGCTGCACACCTGCCATAGAGTCACCGCCAGTGGCCTGGGCCTCCCTCTTTCTTTGCTGGGGGACGGGGCCAGCTCTGTGAGGGGCCATCTGCCTACCTGATCGCCCCTAACCGCTGGCCTGCCTGTCTGATCACCCCTAACCACTCTGCCTGCCTGCCTGATCGCCCCTAACTGCTTGCTGGGGGCAGGGCCAGCCCTGCAAGTGGCCGTCTGCTTACCTGATTGCCCCTAACTACTGGCCTGCCTACCTGATTGCCCCTAATCACTTGCCTGCCTACCTGATCACCCTTCACTGCTGGTCTGCCTACCTGATCACCCCTAACCACTTGCTTGGGGGTGGGGCCAGCCCAGTGAGGGGCCATGGTGGTTCTGGTCTCTGGTCATTCCGGTCATTATGCTTATGGTGGCTGGCCTTTTATTATATAGGATTTTTCGTGTGTGTATAATTTTATGATACCAAGTTAGATATTACTAAATTTAGTAGGTATTGCTAATATTTGCGGTAATGAATGATTTTTATTTATTTATTTTTAAATATATTTTATTATTTACAGAGAGAAAGGGAGAGGGATAGAGAGTTTGAAACATCGATGAGAGAGAAACATCGATCAGCTGCCTCCTGCACACGCCCTCCTGGGGATGTGCCTGCAACCATGGTACATGCTCTTGACAGGAATCGAACCTGGGACCCTTTAGTCCACAGGCCGACGCTCTGTCCACTGAGCCAAACCGGTTAGGGTGAAAAGGAATGATTTTTAAAAATTAGATGTAGGTCCTAGCTACATCTTTTTATAATTTTTTGTGTGCATTATTTTTGAACACATTAAATTGTATCCTGTTCTGCAGTAAGTGAAATGACAGAAGGAAATGTGGCATTTGCAGTGTATTTGGCCTATACCGTTAAATAAAAAATACTTGTAAGAATGTGAATGATTGGATTCAAGTAGGCAATTCATTTGATCACAATTTAGGTGGAGGGGTAAGATTCAATTGTCCTAAATTTTAATTGTGTAAATTAATTGAGAATTATAAGTACTGAGGGAGAGCTGTGGGGTTAGATGAGGTAGGAAGTCAAGGTCATGGCGACATCAGGCCAATGAATTGAGCCCAGTGAGCAGCAAACCTTACAGAGGTGGGCTTTCATTCCCTTCACTGTGTGGCTGTGGTCCAGGTGTCACAACTCCCACATCCCTGCCAAGTGTCCAGCACACAGACACCTTGGTTCTGAGCCCCTGCTCTCGTGGCACTCTCCTCTCACTGGGCTTTTATTTCTCAATTAGAGGCCCGGTGCACGAATTCATGCACGGGTGGGGCCCTTGGCCTGGCCAGGATTGGGGCCGATCGGGGTCGGTGGGGGTGAGGGGGAGGGACCGCGGGAGGTTGGCCAGCCATGGGAGGTTGGCTGTAGGAGTGCACTGACCACCAGGGGGCAGCTCCTGCATTGAACGTCTGCCCCCTGGTGGTCAGTGCGTATCATAGCGACAGGTCGTTCAGTTGCTTAGGCTTTAAAATATATATATTTCTTTATTGATTTCAGAGAGGAAGGGAGAGGGATAGATAGAAACATGAATGATAAGAGAGAATCATTGATTGGCTGCCTCCTGCACGCGCCCTGTGGGGATCGAGCACGCAACCCGGGCATGTGCCCTTGGCCGGAATTGAACCTGGGACTCCCCAGTCCACAGGCCGACGCTCTATTCACTGAGCCAAACTAGCTAGGGCTGCTTAGGCTTTTATATATATATATAGATTCTGCTCCCTGAAGCCTGATGTGGCCCTTTAAGTTGAGGTCACACAAAACCCTCTCTACCTTCGGTGCTGATGTAGCAGACCTGCTCCAAGATTCAGAGACAGACAGGAGGCTAATCTGTAGCAATTCAAGTGACAAGTATTCACTTTCCCTCTGCAGTGTCCTGCAGCCATGGCCACATCCCAGTGTCCTCCATGTTGTTTTTTTCTGTTTGGGTCTCTGTTCTGCTTGTTAGAGGATTTCTTCTGGTGTCAGGTGGTGCTTGGTTATCTGCTGAGAATGCCAAATAGGAGGTTAAAGTGCTCAAAGTGTGTGGGTAAGAGATGTGTACCTCTTTCCAGTGAGCTGCCCGGGCCGTTTCGTCAGAGAGGCCCCACCCGATATCAATGTCCTTGGGTCTCCTTGGGCTGGTCGGGTTCCAGACTCTTCCCAGTTCCTGTGGGGAAAAGGAGAAGAGGGCTGGGTCCCCGCACCTTCGTTCTTTTCAGTGGTTCTCTGCTGTGAACTGTGCCTGGTATCTTCAGTCCAGAGCCCTCTGTTTCCTCTCCAGGAAGCAAACCTCCAGGCTGCTGCTGGGTAGGTGGGGGCAGTCGCCCACTGCCGTGGGGAAACCTAGGCAATCTGACTACTTCTGTAACAGGCTTTCAATCCATCTCATTCTCGCATCTCCTCTCTCATCCTCACTTCCAGAGGTGCCTGGTGCTGCCAACCCCGAACCATGTACCAATCTATCATGTAAATCTGGATGGTTCTTGTCTTAGGATGGCCAGCTTAGCACTCAGTTTTCTTGTGTCTGCTAAATCATGAACTGTTTAACCAACTCGTTAAAAGCTTCCAAAATTATGTTGCTATGGTTCCCTTCCCCTCCCACCCCCGCCCCAATTCTTTTAAGTTTGGGGTTGAAAACACCACTGACAACAACAACATTTTTATATTTTTATATTTTTGTCGGGTCTGGGGGAGGGAGTGAAGTTATATTCATGTTTTGGAATCCCTGTCTTTACCCAAAGGTCTTTACTCTGTATTTGAAGACAATGCAAAAGGGAGTGGACAGAAGCAAAAAGGGGGAAAAGCGCAATTATTAGCAATTGGGAAGGACAAATTAGTGAGGGGAATGATGACTTCTCTGGAAATTGTTTTTGTATAGATGACCCCTCAAACTTCCTGTTGGATAGCTGTAGCTGTACCTCCTGCAACATAAAACACTCAGGTAAAGCTCTAGCTGGGTTGGCTCAGTGGATAGAGCATTGGCCTGTGGACTGAAGGGTCTCGGGTTCAAGTCCGATCAGGGGCACATGCCCAGGTTGCTGGCTTGATTCTGGTTTGGGGGCGTGCAGGAGGCAGCCAATCGATTACTCTCTCATCATATTTCTATCTCTTCCTCTCTGAAATCAAAAATATATTTAAAAATAAATAAATAAAAATAAAACACTCAGGTTAAAACAAAACAGTATAAAAAACAACAGATTTTAGAGGGGCATGGCCCTGTTGATACCTTGATTTCAGACTTCACAACTGGAAGACAATAATTTTTGTTGTTTTAAGCCCCCTGGTTTGTGGTACGTTGTTCCAGCAGCCCTAGGAAACTAATTCAAGTCTCAAATGCGTACCCACGCTTGGTGGTTCCTTTGCTTGCAGAGCCCTTCCACAGAGGGCCTCCCTCACTCCCCACCGGTCCTGCTCAAATCCCACCTTTGCAGAGGCCACGTCCTACTATGCCACCAAAACTAGCAGTTCCTGCCTCTCTCCACTCCTTGGCCTCATTTACTTTTATTTGTGGTTCCTTAGCCATACCTGATATTATATTGTGTAGCTTTTGTTTATTGTCTGCCTGACCTTCTAGGATGTAAGTGTCATGAAAGTCTAATTCAGCCCAGCCGGTGTTGCTCAGTGGTTGAGTGTTGACCTATGAACCAGGAGGTCACAGTTCAATTCCTGGTCAAGGGCACATGCCCGGGTTTCAGGCTGGATCTCCAGTGTAGGGTGTGCAGGAGGCAGCCAATCAGTGATTCTCTCTCATCATTGATGTTTTGATCTCCCTCTCCTTACTCTCTGAAATGAATTTTTTAAAAAAAGAAAGAAAGTCTAATTCATGGCTGTAGGCTCAGTGCCTACTATGTGCCTGATATAGGTAGGCTCTCCACACACACTGTATTTGTTTCATAAATGAATGAACTACTTGACAGTCTGGTTTATTTATTGCTTTTTTATAGCCTTGACTTTGCTTTGCTCATAGTAGACTCTCAGTAAATATGTGCAGATGCACCAAAAAGCCCATCACCATTAGCGGGCATAAGGCTCTGTAGGGTTAAGGGAGGAGTAAACATGTGTAACACATTGGCCTGGTCAGGTGGCCTCTTTGCTATAAAACAATTGTGGGGACAATCGATCAGATTTCTCCGAGTAATCATTTGTTTGCCTCACACAGCCACTGTTTCTCTTGCATTGAACATCACCCCCACTTGCTCTATTTTTCTGATTAAGGAAACAGAATTGAGTAATCTAAATTTAGTTTGTGTAGCTCAGAGGTGCCAATCACGGCACATAATGAATTAGGCGATTCCTCTCACCCCCCTTCCCTGAAGCATTGAGCTGAAACCAACAAGTTCATTTCATTGAGGACCACGGGCTGAACTGGGAGCGCTGTCTGTGACAGGACAGTGCTTTCCTCACTAATTAAGTCACCAGCTCAGGCAACCTCCACAAGGTGGGGGTGCCGCTTATCTGAGTTGGTCCAGAGACTGCTTTGGCCCTCTGTTTGCGAAGGGAAGTGGTGTATAATTTTGTTACAAATATGTAAGCCAGAAAAAAATGCACTTATGTAACATAAATATGTAAATAAAATGTACGCACACACACACACAAACATAT